GAAATTGTTCTCCTCTTCTGCATGGGGCTTCCTTCTTATTTGTACAGAAATAAACATTAAATTTATGTTTTTTTCCATTTCTGAATTATATGCCTTCACGTGCTGATGATTACCAAATTTTCCTCCTATTTCCTTCTTTGTGTCTTTTGATCTGTTTTTCCTTCCTTTTTCTCATATTTTTATTTTTAAATCACTAGTGAATTCATGGACACACATTAATGAAATAATAAATGAATACATTACCAAAGGTGACTCAGAAGTTCAATATTGTGGCTTGTATACTGGGATGCATTCTTGAAACAGTGATAGGTGAATTTTCAACTTATCATTATAGTCAAAATTAAGGATAGTTAACATTATTCTGGTTTGAAATGAATGTGTGTTATTTTAGCTTTTATAAAGGCAGAACTAACCTTAGCTATAAGCAGGGAACTAATAAATTAAGTAATGAAGTTAAAGGAAAAAGAAAACAAACCTTTTCTTTCATCCTGTCTAGGCGTAGAAATGATTGTGTTCAGGGCTAGGAGATTAAATTGTGTCACTTGTCAGGAAACTGGCAAGCAGCCATCCTTTCTGCCTGCTTCTACACTTTGCTTTTGTGCTGTGGATGGGTTTAATAAATGCACTGTTCTGTAAAATGTCATTGCTGCATTACCAAGTGGAGGATGTCATGTGATAGCTCTTCCCCAGGATGACATATCAATATTGGTCCCTGGCAATCTAGGGACTTCAAGCTGCACAGAGGGCATTTTTATGATTCCGATACAAGTATAGAAATAAAAATCATTCTTCAAAGCATGGAAGTATACCTATTTTTCTCTGAAAGAAAAACCTAATGTTCTTTCCAAAATGTTCTTATTTTCAAAGATGTGTCATGCTCTCAAATTCTAGAAGGCAAAAAATAAATGACTGGTAATATTTATTGAAAATTTCATCTAACTGTTAATCAAATAAATGCAAAGGAAAGCAAAGAAATATACCTTTATTTTTCCCCTTGGAAAATAGCCCCAAATGATATATGTGCAAGCACAAAAAAGTACTGATAACCAACTATAAAACAGGCCATCTCTAGCATTATTGGTGGAAGTAAGGAATTAGACAAGGATGTGGTTATTGGGGGTCATCTTAGAATTCTGCCTACCACAGTTGTCACTCTTGGCTGCCACAGACTTGTGGCTCAGGTTCAGCATTCTGCTAAATGTCTGGCTCTGCAGATAACAATGATTTTGAGGACTTCATATTTTACTTAGCTCCTTCCTACCTTTCCTTCATTTAATCTTGCCATTAGGCTTCCTGAGATACATGCAGTGTACCAATGAGACAACTGAAGAACAGAGAGCTTAAAAAGAACCCCAAAGTCACAAAGCTAGGAAGTACAACCTGGAACCCAGTTCCTCTGGCTCCAAATATTATGTTCTTTTTTCCCCCCACATCTCTTTTCTGGGACAACCACTGAGACCACAGCTCAGTTCGAAGTCTGTTCTATTTACAGAAAAAGTTACTTCTCACTTTACCTGTACTGAAAGCCTACACTCTCACTTTATTTTGGGCATAATTTAGCATCCGCAGGAAAGTTTTATATAATGTTCCCAGGATTCCTAGAATGATGTGTGTGTGTGTGTGTGTGTACACATTTTCCATTGCTACCTAGAAGATCACAAATTTAGCAACTTGAAACAACACCTAGGTCCACTTTTTAAGTGGCCTTTAATTTCATGTCAGAGTATGACCTAGAGAAACAGGGATATGAAAAAATAGAAACAAGAAGCTTAAGGGAAGGATATAGAGGGTGAAAGGAAACTGAAGAAAATGTAAAAGGGATGAGAGAAAAGGGAATAGAAATAAGGAGAAAGAAATAGGGTAGAGGAGAGGAAATACTACTGAGAGGTATAGAGGTTAGAGGAGAAAAAGGATGGTTTAATGTTGGTAAAATTTAGTGAGCACCTACAATGTGCCTGGCATAGCTAAGGACTTAGGGGAATCTCACTGAATTCTCAGAATATTGAAGTTGTTATTACTATCACCATTTTACATTAAAAAAGGGCAAGTAAAAGAGTTTAACTTACCCAAGGTCAATTATGTTGGTATATAGACATTAGCAATTATATATTTTTTTAGAATTTATTGTAATGTTCTTCTTTTAGAACTAACAGTGAAATTTAAAAAAAAAAAAAAAAAAAAAAAAAAACTCTTCAAAGCTTGTTGGTCCAGCCTCAAACACTGTTCTTGTTACACTGAGAAAAGTTAGATAGGCTTAGTTGGGGCTTAAGGGTGACTATTTTATAACAGTCATTTACAATGTTCATATTTGAGTCAATTGAATTCTAATTAAAACAGATCCCTAAAATGTTTTATTCCTCAGGTTGTCACTCTTCTGAGTCTCAGCGTCCCTCTATGTAAAATGTGGACCTTAGTCAGGTGTGCTGGCATATGCCTGAAATCCAAGTGGCTTGGGAGGCTATGGCAGGAGGATTGGGAGTTCAAAGCCAGTCTCAGCAACTTGGTACTAAGTACTGGGGATGGAGGTCAGTGGTTAAGCATCCCTGGGGGGTCAATCCCTAGTACCAAAGGGGGGAAAATGTGGATCTTGTACTATATTTTAAATCTAAAAATCTGTATTTAATGTTATACTGAAAGACTTTCAATTGTTATTCTTGAAATCTCAGATGTCCCCAAGCCATTCAAATGCAAGGCAGGTAGCCTTAAATGGGGAAGAATCTCAGCAGGGTAGCAAGGATCCATCAGAATGAAGTGGAGGCCCCAGTAAGTATTTTCCCTTAGGAAAGAGGCCAGTAGATTGGGGCACATATGTATTTTGCTGCTCCAGTTAGGACCACTGTAAAGAAATCTACAGGTTGTTTCTTGTAAAACCCTGGAAGGTATTGTTCACACACACTTTCCTAATCTTGGATCCAGGAAGCAGAGCAAGGACCAATAAATAATCAGAATAAAGGAAACTGTGGCTCAGTAGAAAAATAACAATGCCTCACACATAATAAAAGCTCAATAAATGTTGCCTCTCTTTATAATTTTCATCTTTACAACTAATACGGAGCTTTCAGAAGACCAGAATTCTCTTTATCTCTGTAGACATGAGATTGCCTCCAATGCTTGCAGATAAAGAATGGTGGCACTCTCAGAGGTGTCACTTTTCATTCTTAATTGAAGAGCATGCATGTGACATAGTCTGTTCTATCTCAAGCTGAGAGGCAGCATTTTTCATAGAGAAGGTCCACCACTTTCAGGTAAAGGGTTCAACTGATGATTGTGGCCCACTGATTTCTTCATTATTCCATGGTGACTCTATTGCTAAACTTTTAAAATAGATCTACTGCAGAGTTGAGTAATAACAAACTCAGTTCCCTCTGTGTTTGACTTGTGGAATTATACAGCCACCCAGGCTACCCACCCGCCTGCCTACCTGCAGTCCTTCCCTTCCTCTTTTCTTCCTTCCTTCCTTCCTTCCTTCCTTCCTTCCTTCCTTCCTTCCTTCCTTCCTTCCTTCCTTTCTCTCGCTCTCTCTCATTCTCTCTCACTCTCCCGCTCTCCCTCTCACCTCCCTTTTTCTCTTTCTTTGGTGTGGTACTCAGGATTGAAACCAGGGTGGTGGGCTGGGGATGTGGTTCAAGCGGTAGCGCACTTGCCTGGTGTGCTTGCGGCCCAGGTTTGATCCTCAGCACCACATACAAACAAAAATGTTGGGTCCGCCAATAACTAAAAAATAAATATTAAAAAAATTCCCTCTCTCTCTCTCTCTCTTTAAAAATATGAAAAAAAGAAAAAAAAAAAAGAAACCAGGGTGCTTTACCGCTGAACCACATCCTCAGCCCTTTTATTTTGAGATAGTCTCACTAAGTTGCTCAGGCTGACCTCACACTTTGAAATCTTCCTGCCTCAGCCTCCTGAGTCCCTGGGATTATAGGTGAGTGCCATTGTGTCTGGATCACAGCATCTGTTTGAAACCTCTCACTCTTCAACCTGGATATTTCCTTACTCTGAAAATAACTTTGTCAATTTGACTCGGAAATTCTATTGTCAAATAGAATGGATTTCCTTATGGAAGTGTTTCTTTTTGTTGATAGGAAATACAGGTATACTTGAAAAACAAAATGTAATTTGTCCTGTACAAACTGCAAGATGAAGCTGTCAAAACTAATCACTGCATCAGAACAACTAGATAGGGAACAAGTGTCTTTGGAGGATTCCTAAGAAAACAGCAAACGGGCTTATCATTCATGCTTAATGCAAAGCAGAACAAGGAAGGGATATGAAGTTTACATTGGTGCCATTCCTATGTCACCTTCCTGTGTAATTCCATGCAAGCCAGAGCCATTCTACTCTATAGGATTGCTTGTGCCATCTGACAAAGACTCTCCTTGATCAAATTCGAGTAAGGTTCTTCTGAGCCTTCTTCTCCACTAGGCCTCAACTTTGGGCTTGGTCTTTGACCTCCTTATTCCAGTTTTAGAATCCTGTTGAATTAGTTTAGCAAAAGTCCCTCACTCTTGGTAACTGATGAATTTCCTCATCCTCCACCGTCAATATCTTATCACTCTGGCCTGCTTTCAAAAACAAGAATCCTGTCAAATTCCCTTAGCCAGAATCCCCCTTGTCCCTGATGTTTTCTCTTTTCGATTTTCTATCCACTGATCCCCCTCCCCTCCTTGTTTATAAGTCCCTATTTGTCTTTGTTGTACTCAGAGTTACATATTCTTTCCCCTACTGCAAAGTGTTTCTTTCATTGTCTTTTTCTTCTTTTCCAGGGCTCGGGAAAAGAAGCCTCGCAGGTGTTGGCAATTACCAAGTACTCTACCACACTCCACTACTCCAAAATCAGTAAGTGGCAAGAGATCTGCAAAGTCATTACAGAAAGCTTGCTTTGACAACCTTCCCTCTCACATATAAGAGTTTTGTAGAATTATTATTCTCCAAAGGTACAAGTGTGTCTCATTGAAGCATCAGATCAACTTCCAAATAATTCTAATGTTTCAGATCTTTACCTGAGTCTGCCATCCTCTGCTGCAGCACCTCCGGGTATAATCTTCGTAATAAATATGCCAGGGTCATCTCCAATGTGGGGATTATCTGTCCCTCCAGCAATACTGAATCCCAGTCCAGAATTCCCCTGTAGAAACAATAAGCAGACATTAAGTGATGTGGGTGTCATCTAACACCTAGCCCCTTGAACTCTCTGTTATCATGTTACTCTTTAAATGGAAATCAGGTGACAGGCACTTTTGTATGCAAAACCATAAAGTGCATAGTCAGCTGACAAAGGAAGGTCAGGAAAAATACTCATTTGTTACTGCATTGCAGGAATTCAAGGGGCATTGCATTTTTGTTTTTTAAAAAAGTTTCCCTTATACAAAAATTAAAATGATCATTATGAATGGGGAAATAAAGGCTTATAAATTGTGTGTTATAAAAAGTCCTAGAGTCTTTAGAGTATCAGTTGTAAAATCATATATTCATATGAGAAATAATGGAAAGAAATAGACTATGTGAAAATATCTGATAGAATAGTGAAACGTGGGTGTTTTTGTTGTGTTACGTCTAGCTTTTTTTTTCCTAATGTGCATTATCCATTAAATAAATGTTTTCCTATGTAATATGGTTGGACTTCAGAAGGCAGGACTCCCTTCTTGTCAAAATACATGTGAAATATTTTCAACAACAAACAGGTTTCAATTTGTAGTAGTAATAGACAAGGCATGCAATAATGCTACAAAGTGTAAATTTCAAGAGTTTACATTTAATAAAACTTCCATACTTCTATAGATTGAGGAACTAACATCCAACACACATAAAACCTTCTAAAATTCGTATGTAAGGCATAATTAAATGTCTCCTCAAAATTCACATCCCATCTTACTTAACATATTTCTTTCGTGTTCTCTTTGAATACCTATCTCCATGGTTACATTATGTTTCTATAATTGTGTTCTGAAATTTTTCCAATTCATATTACATTTTAAGACCCTTCTGTATAGCTAGGCAGTCTTTAAATTTTCTATTTTAAATGGCTAAATAATATTTTATTAAGTTCCTATGCCATCATTTATTTAACTGGTCTCCTGTCACTTGATATTTAATTACTCCATATATTCTTATAATAAATATAGCTTACTACATTGATTAAGTTCCACTCTTGGGTAAAAAGAAATGAAGACTAAGAATTTAATGGTTAATCCTGAGTAATTAATTAGAACACTCAATTAGTTAGAAAAGTTCAATGTCAAGATAAAGTCAGCTATAACTAGATAGTTATATCACTGCAAATGTCAAAGTAATATTTAGCATTTTTTCTTGACTGAATTAGGAAAACTGAATTCCAGAAGGTTATTGCACAGTTGTATATTTATGTTGAAAGGTTGAAAATAATAACCCAGCCAGAGCAACTTAGATCCTCACTCTTTATATTTCTGACATCTTCTCTAATTCTGCTTGTTCTTTAAAAATTCCAAGTTCATTGAAGAGAGATGTTACTTAATAGCAATAGAGTATTCATTAGTTTTTAAAATATTTAACAACATCTCTGTGCCTGGCATTAGATAAGCTCTGGAGCTATAGCAGTGATGGTGTCAGTTTATGAGACATGTGAAGGGAAAGTGTGAGTGTAGGAGTAGCTAAGAGGAGGACCAAATATGACTTAGTGACAGAGGGGAGAACACCAACAGGGAGGGGAGAACTCATGTTAAAATCCCTGAGGAGAGAAAGGGTATGTTAGGTCCAAGAAATAGACAGTGGAAACAAAGAAGGCCAGGAGGAGATGTAGAAGGGATAAATCTTAATCATAAGGATCAAAAGAACACAGCATATGAGAATCCATTTGCTGTGGTAAGTATCTATTAAAACCCAGTGACCGTGTCACTGTGGGTGGAGGATCCTACGTGACTGACCCTAATCCACTGAAGATTAAGAGCAGATGACCTCTGCTAACATGGATTTTCAGGCACAGCAGAAAAAGTAGTGATAGTCTGGCATCTGGTGATGAATACATTTTATACTAAGTAACCTTGACTGCTTTGTCAAGTATATAGCCATGGAGAGAGACAGCACATAGGTGACAGATAAGGCAGTTTCTCTATGATCCAGGGGTCTGGCGCACAAAAGGATGGGAAGATGATTTTCTTCAGAGTAATTTGTATCTAGTTCCAAGAACATCAACTGAAGCGCATTCCTCTTATTAGAGCTAATATCTCAGGGATTATAGTTTCTTGGTTAATGGGGGTACGGAAAGAAGAAAGGAAGCAGAGATTGGGAGGTACCCAGATGCTTTCCCCTAATATTATCAATGTTTGGAGAGAGCAAGAAAAACTTCAACATTTGAGAAAGATATTTACAATCTAGTTCTTAGCCTTGTTCGCTTTATTTTCAGCTTCAGATTTTAGCCCTTGGGAACACTGAACCAAACTACCAGCTCTTACCTGCAGGAAACACACTACACCTCTTCTCTTGGCCAGGATGAGAGAAAACTCATGCTGATTTCTCTACCAGAAACTTCTTATCTCCCATTGCTTAGCCTAATTCTTTACATTTTCTAAGCTACAGTCCAGATGGCATGGACTCCAGGTAGTGTTTTTTAAATTTAATTTTTTCTTACAGATTGATAAGTTGTAATAATGGGATAGAACTGGTGATATAATTTTTAATATGATTGGGAAAGAATGAATTAAACCATACCTTCAAATATTTAATATTTTCCTCTGAAGAAAACATTAGAAGTTTACTTTCAGGAAAATGGAAATATATAGGATGCAATTATGAGCTTTACCCACCATACTGTGCAATTTTTCTGAGCTTATTTCACTTAGCATAATATTCTCTAATTCTATCCATGCTGTCCCAAATGATAGGATTTCTTCACTCTTTCCTTTTCTTTCTTTCTTTCTTTTTTTTTTTTTTTTTTTTTTTTGTAGTGCTGGGCATAGAACCCAAAGCTTAGTGTATATTAGGCAAGAGATCTAACCCTGATCTATGTATTTCAAGCCCCGATCTCTACATTTTAAAATATTAACTTCTATTCCATTTCATACCAAATTTTCTTTATTCATTCATCCCATGATGGAAACTTAGTTTGATTCCACAACCTGGTTTTTGTGAAAAGAAATGCAATGACATAGGGTAGAGATATGCCTTCAACATGTTAATTTCAAGACTTTCGGGTAAATAGGAAAGGGGATTTCTGGATAATATGGTAGGTCTAGTTTTAGTTTTTTGAGGAACCTGGATACTGTTTTCCATAATGGTTATACTAGTTTACATTCTCACCATATTTTTTCATAATACTATTTGCAGAAGAATTATCAGCCTCCCACACACATTATCAGTGCCTTTGTTAAAGTTCTGTTCCCTTTCCTTCCTTTGTTAAAGTTCAGGGTTCCCTTTCCTCCACATCCTCACCAGTACTTATTATTTGTCTTTTTTGTTAAAAGCCATTCTAACGTATGAAGTGATAGTTCACTATGGTTTTAATTTGCATTTTCTATTATTTGGATATTAATCTCTCATCAGATGTATGGCTTACACTTTCTCCTGATTCATAGTTTGTCTGCCCATTGTTAAATTTCTCCTTTGATATGAATAGGTTTTTAATTTTTATACAATCCCATTTGTCTATATTGTTTTCGTTGTCTGTATTTATGGGGCAAGTAAAAAAATATTTGCCCAAACCAAGATATTTCCTACAGGTTTTCTTCCTGTAGGTTTACCATTTCAGGGCTTATGTTTAAGTCTTTAATCCACTTTGAGTGTATTTTTGTATGTGGTGTGACATAAGGGTTCAATTCCATTTGATTGCATATGGATATCTTGTTTTCATAATACTATTTGCTGAAAAATTATTCCCCCCCATTACTGGTGCCTTTGTTAAAGTTCTGTTGATTATAAATGTATACTCCGTTTTCTGTTCTATTTGTTCCATTGGTTGATATGTCTATTTTTATGCCAGTACCATGCTGTTTAATTACCATGGCTGTGCAGTATAGTTTGAAATCTGGTGGTATGATGCCTTTAGCTTTGTTCTTTTTCTTACTGACTGCTCTGGCTATTTGCACTTTTGTGTGGTTCCTTGTGAATTCTAGAATTGTTTTTCTATATCTGTGACAAATGAAAATGAAATTTTGATAAGGATTGCTTTGAATCTGTAGATGTTTTGGGGGGGTATTAGGGCCTTTTTCATAATATTGAGAAAAGTAATTTGAAAGCAAAAGCCATTTTGTTCTGTGTGGCTATAAAAATTAAAAAAAAAAAAAAAGGAAAGCTCACATATTCAGCTCAGCTGAAGAATGAACTGTCCAATTTGGGGATGTTTGCTTTTGAAGGAATGGAGTGTCCTTTACTCAAGGCTCGTCTCAGGGTAGAAGACACTCAGGCATCTATTGAAAGGTTAATTTGGATGACATCAAAACATTCTTTTGTTTCTCTTGCAACAGAGAAAAAAGGAATGCTTTAAAGAAATGTTAGCAGGGGAAGTAGATCACTGTTGCAATTTTAAAAATTATTCTGTGAATAAACAAATCTTTGAAGTAGTAGTTTTGATCTGACAATTGACTACAATATGAAGAATGTGGTAGCTCTGGCATTCCCTAATATACATTCTTCTTACCCCAAACCCACTCTAAGGAAAATAATGGATGGATGAGGAAATCCACAATAGAGAGAGGTAGATATAAACAGAATGTAACTTGCCCTGTATTTCTGGTCCCAAAATTTCCTGCAAACTTTTGTAGTCCTATTCAAACCAGTCTGCCAGCTCAGTCTGGCCAGTCACCACAATTCTTTAGAAGAGGTTCATCTGAATTCAGTTGAGAGAATTATTTGAAGTGCTTTCCCACCTCCTCATATTGTTCTCTCTTTGGTTTTCCTACCAGCTAGCAACATTCAATGGAATGGAGGACAGAAAACAAAAAGTGGCAGTGAAATTGCTGCCTGCTGCTCTCCATGGATGAATCATTCCAGACCTCTAACAATCACCCTAGAGCCTGCCAACTTCATGGGCAGATCTCAGCTCCTCTCTCTTCTGAGCAGCCATCTCTCCATGTGGACAGGCAGACCTCTGGCTGACACTATTAGATCCTGAAAATCATGGCTAGTTAACCCAATGTTGACCTTTGACCATTCAAT